TTTCATTCGATATTCAATATTATTGTGGTGCGGCATCAGCTGGCTGATATACGTTATAATATGAATAAAACACATCTCAAATAATCTAAGGAATAATTTATTCAAAAATACGTGTATATAATATATATAAATAATATAATATGTAGACTAGATGAAGAGTGTACAGAACTCGTATCACATCATATGGAGACTAGATTAAACAATAAATATGATTATAAGCGTATGAGGTTGGGTACAGAGTTCGCATTATTATTATTATTATTATCGAGGCTCTGAGTGTTCCATCAACATTTTTATCAGGTCATCTAAATTATCGCTAGAATTTGATTTCTCAGCTGTTTGCATTGTAGCAGATATTGCTTGTTGTACCCAAAGCATATTACGTTCAGGACTCGTTTGATAAAATTCGATATCATTGTGCCCCCAAGGTAAAGTTTTAACAGTATTAGGTATGATAAACCGTTTATCGTCATGGTATGAAAGGGCGACTTTGTTTTTCATTTCAGTATAAATATCGTGCCGATCGCTACGAAAAGTATTCATTTTTCTGAATATCAAGCCACCATTTTCTACGATTTTCTTATAATCATCCATCGATAATTCACTTCTAACAACTGGCCTTGAAACACCCTTCGCTTTTTTCAATTCGGAATTCGAAGATTGAACGTAATACGCTTTGGCACCCGTCCCATAGAAGCTCACAATAGGATCATTTGGAAATTCGTCCTTCATATTTCCCACTACTGATTTCGTTATTGGAATATTGAATTTGTTATCTACGGGGTAATTAGATGTGTCGAAATACCTTATATTCTCCTTCATGAAATTATAAAAATTTTCTGTTTCTATTTTCAATATCAAAGAATCCGTATCAGTATACAATAGCCACGATTTACCAGAGAAATGTTTCTTAATGCATTCATACAGAAAGTTATATATAACGACTTTTGATACATCTAATATGCTGAAACCTAAATACAGCGGTTTATCATAATGCACTTTAACTTTTCCCATATGGATTGCTACGAAATTTTCATGGAATACTTTACAGGTTTTATAATTGGGGAGTGCTATCAATGCATTAGCACCCTTCCTCTTTGTGATACTTTCCCAATGAGTCACAAGTTTGATATCGCTTCTTTTATCAACATTCTCCATGGTTTTGCCATAAACTGAGTTGACCATATTCTTGTATAAACTTTTATCAGCTTTATTTGTACTCTTATTACGCATTTCTGTATTGAGGTCAACATACTTTTTTAACCACGGGGATTGCTTAAATTTGAGAACTCTATGTGTTTTTATCAAGGTCAAACCGTTTTCCATAGCCTGTTTGAGATTTCTGTAATGAACAATATATTTAATTTTATTCGACAAATTAGGAATCAGTTTTTTCAGCTTAGATTTCGATCCGGGTGGAGCAATGGATTCCACGAGGAAGGGTAGATCTGAGTGTGCATCATGTAATTCTTCAGGATAGTACACATCAACTTCAAGGACATACCCATATGGGCTATCGTTTTCAACGCTCATGACATCTAACTCTATAATTTCTTGGTTGGTCAACCACCTAAAATCGGATGTTGGTAGCGGCTGTGACATACTATGACCGTACAAGTTAGTTGCATCTAAATACATGATAAATGTTGATGGTTCATTTGGATTGAAGTTTGGGATGAACTTATTATTCGCAACATGACTCCTCAGACTACATTGACTAATCCCGCCTCTTATACCTTTTTTGAAAAAATGAATCATATCGATGTCGGTTAACAATTCCAATTCGATTTTTGTGTACCTCAACATAGCATCCCACGATAAACCGGGTGCAGTGAAGTATTGGCACGGATCTAACTTGTACGTTTTCAAACAAACATTCCGGAAGTTCTCGAAAACATCACATAATAATAAAACATCTGATTTTAAATAAAGGTCGGAGTAATCACCGAGTGATTTACATTGGAATAAATTCCAAACATGCTCAGCTCTTCGATAATCCTCGCCCGAAATATGTGTATTAGATAAATTATCGAAAAAATCACTTTTTGATGGCAGATCTTCATTATCCAATTTATCCATAGACGTTATGAAACTATATGGAAAAACTCCCTTCTGCGTCATGTATTTGAATTCTTCAGGGTCGCGAAAATATCTAGCAGTTTCTACAAATTGAGATTCATTCAAATTTTCGGCCAAGGATTGCAGGGGTTGGGCAAGGAATTTGTAGCTATCCAAGAATCGCAGTTTCAAGAAGACATTCTGATTCACACCGTTTTTTCCCAAATATTCGTCTACTAAAATATGTTTGGTAAATGAAATATATTTTTCCTTAGTTTGCGCGATACAATCAACTCTCTCTTCTCTATCGAATAATTGCTTGATGAAAAGGTGGCTATCGTAGCCACTCATATTATGAAAAAATATGGGGATGAAATTTGGAATTTTAAAGTTCAAATTACATATTGAATGTGCGGCACCGAATCTTTTTTTTCCCGTTAGATGGCAGTGGTCTCTCACTTTGACGTCGCCATATATAAAAGCTTTATCGCAAATACCGCACTCCGTGGCATTAGCGAATTCAACTTCTTCTGCCGGAGTTAATTTTTCCATAGGAACTACACGTTTTAGAAACAAGTTGTATATTATTTTGCAGTCATTGACTAAATTGGATACGAATTTTTTCGCAGCATCTTTTCCACGGAATGTAACATATTTCGTGATAGAATTATCGAAAGAGCATTTGATAAGGTATGCAAATGAATAAGGTTCATGTGCGAATGTTCTATTAGTAAAGGGTTTATTCGGATCTGGCTGACTAGTATGTATCGGTTTCAGAACTGATTCGAAATCTGCATAAATAACGAATGGTACTTTCATCTGTTTCTCAAATTTCTCGAATTTCAAAATGTTTTCAGGTACTGAATTTCCAAATTTATCGACTTTGATCTCTGTGGACGGAGTTGTAGTATATGTATGATTACAATCATTCAGCTGATGGCGTAACAACTTTGTTTCATCTGAGAAATATATCAAACAACCGTCGCAAAAAAATTTCTTATGCGCTTTGGCAGATATCTGGCTAGATACCAGCCTTGATAAATTCTTTATCCAGCAATAGTGGCTATTTCCAGTTTCATCATCTGTGGTCAAAAGTAAATTCACATGTTTACTCATTCTTTTCTTGGAGTAATACAGTGGGCCGACTACATGATATTTCACTTGATGATCTTCAAATACACTCTCTAACCCGTAAACGTTGATGGAACAATCATTGAGAATTTCGAATTTTGGAATGCTACTCACTTTAACAGGGAACTCTATACCCAGCAAATTCAGAACTGTAGAATAGTGCGGATATGAAGAGGTTTCGCAAACATTAGCTCTTGCCGGATACAGTGCAGACGTCACAGCCCAAGCGAAACAGCACTCGTCCTGATTCACTATGTTTACAACGGCCTTTTTATTCTCTATGAAGCTAGGTAGCTTCATGTAAGAGCATCCACGCAGAGGGCTGTACTTGTTGATATTGATTTCCAGGAACATTATTTTTTCTAAAGCCCAACCTATAACAATAGTAACATCTGTTAATAATCAGAAATATTTCAAAAATCATACCAACTCACCAGAATCACGCTCCTCGAATTCGGTCGTTTGATTCAATAAGATGTCCTTGAATGTGTCAACCACGGCCTCCAAATCCAGCGATGAATCCATGATGTGATTTGGCGTCATGAAGGATTTGATGTCATGAAGATCTTGGGATTGTAAAATGTATCTTCCAAACACTTCCATATTCACCTTGATGGAGTGGTGAATCGAGATTATATTATCCAATAAAGATATAATGGTTGCCTTATTCTCATTAAAAAACGTATTGTAATCCAATACATCAGTTCTGCATTCCAATCGATAGCTCACAATGCGGCATTTGAACGCATTTTCAATCACATATACTCCGTCCCTATAATTGACGCAAGCGTTTGTCCGATGCTCCAATGTCCTTTTATGCGCACCCATTTTATCGGTTGGAATGGTCTTATTGCAAACAGTACATGTCTGCACATTTGCAGAAGTTGCTGCTTGCTGAGTGCCATCTTCCAGTCGAGGCTTCTTTGCAATAGATGGGTTGAAATTTCCCACACATGCAACCCTTTGATGACGTCGTAGATTGTCACTACGTGTGAAAGGTTTAGCGCACACACTGCAAACTAACATTTTGTTTAGATGATTTATCACTCACAAAGAACTATTCAACTTGATGTTTGATGATAGTATTGAGAGAGAACTGTGCTCTCATGGACACAACTATTGGGTTTATATAGGAGGGAGTCATGACGTAACACAGCACCCCACTTCTACCAAAACGACCTCGACCAGCCTACTCCCATTTTCAAGGTCGCACACGCTTTCACCTCCCTCTCCAAGGTCGAGGTCTCTCTCTCTCTCTACAACTCAAGGTCACTCGTTCCCAAGGTCACATATGCGAAGGTTACTCGTACAACCTTCCTTCAAGGTCGCTTTGTCTCGCCCTCAAGGTCACCTCCGCGTTCAAGGGCGTGCTGTCGACACTTCACTATACGAGGTTACTCCCGCCCAAGGTCAGACCCGTTCAAGGTCACTCCCGCCCAAGGTCACTCCCGCCCAAGGTCACTCCGCCCAAGGTCGGAGGACGGTGACCTAGGGCGGAGAGCCAGAACCGGCCAATCTTTACTACTATGAGGAATATGAATTTGCAACTTATTTTGTGATTGCTCATAGAGGGCGCTAGTGGCACTTTGTTACTTGGATAATTTACATCATATCTTTTATGTCCATTCATTGATGATCAGATTAAGTGGAAAATCTATTTGCTCCAATAGCAAAGTGACAACAAGAATGTGAAAAGTCAACAAAGTTATGCCGTTGAAGTCATTTTCCCAGCAAAGAAAGCATATTGGGCCAATAACTTCCCGGTAGTTCATTGTTTGTTGGGAAGTTTAGTTATTGTTTCATTATCTCACCTTTCCACTTTTGATATTTTCCGCACAACGCACACCATATTGCGACATTCCTAGAGCTATTTCTAACCAAGCCAAGACTGTGGATGCTCTCCATCTGTCCATAGGTATGCTGCCGGCTTCTCTGAGTAATCTCAGTTTTTCGGCATATCCTTCTTCTGTCAGCGGTGACCAACTTCGAAATTGTTCATAATTCTCCGCTAAATCAAAACCCAAAACGGAAATTAGTATTTCAAAACGTTACTATAGAATTTTTTTTTCTTAATTATATATTTTTATTTATTGAACAAATAACTTCCAGACAGAATAGGCTCTGGTATAAGCAAGTACATAATTATATACCTAAAAAATTGTTGTTCTAAAAGACATTTTCTGAACCTGATTTCGTTATATAAACTTAAAATATGTTGCTTTATTCTTTTTGCCAGGAATTAGAAATTAAAAAATATCAAATTTAGCTTTCAATGAAGTCAATACAGTCCATAATTATGGGACTAGACAATTGAATTACTTGATAGCAAATACATTCAAGTCAAACATTGGCAAACAATCTGTTTTTCACAATGGAATAATTTTATACAATTCATTACCGAATGAGTTGAAAAATATACATGATGCAAGAAGGTTTAAAATCAATCTCAAAAAATATTTGCTCAGGACAATTTGAAAGAAAAATATGTGGCATGATTTGATTACTTAGGAATGAAATATCTTTTTTGTCCGACTATGGAGCTATAGCGCCGTCAAGATGAAACAAGTTATATTGTCTAGTTTCATGATTATGTATTTCAGGATTCCGTATCAAAATAATATTCGACTCAATTTTTTTTATTTATGATATTATATGATATTTTAAGAGTTTCAATTCTATATATTTCATCAAAAGAATACGTATTTGTTATTTCATACAATTGATTGGTTGGTGTATCGAATGGAAGACGATACAATAATACTTTTAACGATTTTCTATATAATGTTGATATTTTATTGAAATTATCTTTTGAACAAGATCCCCAAACATTTATTAAATAGTTGATACGACTCAGTATATGAGAGTAGGGAATCATGTTTGCAATTTTAATATCAAATTTGGGACATCTTCTCAATGCACCAATAATTGGAGATATTTTCTTTGTCAAGACAGCAGTATGTTTGTCCCACTTCAACCTGTCATCCACGATGATGGTTTCCACATAGTGGAATAATGTATGTACATACGTAGTTAATGAATGATGGTGGCTTGTGATTGGGAAGCGGAGTCACGTGGGAGAGACGGCAATATAGTGGGGGGATCTAAAGACAGCAACTTCCTACTCTCTGTTGGATATCTTATCAAGTAATGTAGGAACTCACGTGTTTCTTGTAGCGAATTCGATTTATTCCTATGTCTCGATCTGGCGAACACTCTGGAAATACTTCCCCATGTACCACCACGACTAGACCTAACTGACTGTTTACTTCGTTTATTTACAGTAATTGGTTCTGGTTCCATAGGCGAACTCAGTTGTTCCACAGATCTGGAATAAATGAAATGCATTTTCATGAGAATTGATTTCAGATTGGCTTGAAAATAAACTCAATTATTAGATTCTATGTTGATGTGGTGAAATGATTGTAGAGTATTACAACGATTATTTTCTTCGTATGATTTTAATCAGAAATATAGAATCATTTCCATTTCCATAGGGTTGCCAGTTCGTTTTTTATTCCATCAGTAAATATCTTGTCAAAAATGCAGTAGATTTCAATAGATCTGTTTAAGAGCTATTCCATGCTATACGAATTCCAAGGAAGGATAACGAAGAGTAACATATTTCCAACAAAATAGAAACAAACAAAACAAACATTCTCATACAAAAATAATTATATTCCTGATTGGCAATTCAGAAATACTCACAAATATCACAAAATACAGTCACATAACTACAGGGTGTCCGAAAAGGTTTTTACTATCTGAAAAAATTATAACTCATTCAGTTTTCAATGTAGAATTGTTTTTTCATTTATAAAATGAACTACAAAATGTGGAAATTTATTTGTTGAAAAAAATCATTCCATCGAAATGCCGTCCTCCCACGTACAGGGTGGGCAAAATTGGGCGTTTTCACCGTCTATCTCAATAACTAGAGGAGTTATCGAAAAACCGATATACATGTTCCGGGTTCGATTTTGGAGAAACCTCGAATGGCATAATCAAAATTTAGATATCTTCATTCGTTTTAGAGATACAGGGGGAAATTGAAAATCTGCCGATTTCGATTTTATTTTCTGACTACTTTACGGTGAGAGGTATCAAAAAATTTCAAACGTTTATTTATACAGTATGATGCGTGGAATCCATTGGCATCATCAGAAATTTTATACAGGGTGACGTTGAAAAGATACGGCAGCCAATTATGTTTTTTCTAATGGAACACCCCGTATATTTTGGCACAGTTGAATAGTCCCAGGCGTTCTCATTACAAATATATATATAACCTTACCTTTTCCTTCCACAATTCCAGATATATTCGCAAAAATATATTCAGTGTGTCACATTTCTTATGGTTACACCCTCGTATCTTCTGTATCTGGAATTTGGACATCTTCTATAAGGCTATATTTTTCAACGCAACCTACTGATTTCCTAATTGAGTAAATTATTGGTCTCATTTCTGTATCTCAAATGTCTTGATAACAATGATATCAAATCGAATAATTTCCCATTTTATTTCTCACCAAATATCCATTTGTCTGGAAATAACATTCCCTATGATATTCATTTTCCACCTTTGGTGAATATATACAGAGTGTCATTTTCAACCTCGATTCTGCCTGTTGATAGCATTATCCAGAAATATCGATGATTCCATAGCTGCTGGCGAGCAGTGTTATCATTGGAGATGATCCCTCTTGGTCCATGACTCCATGAGTGTATCATTTGTATCTTTCTGACAGTTGCGAATTTTTGAATCCTACGTCAATTATTATTTTTACAGAAGATACGGGGGTGTAACCATAAGAAATGTGACACACTGAATATATTGTTGCGAATATATCTGAAATTGTGTAAAGAAAAGGTAGGGTTATATATATATTTGTAATGAGAACGCCTGGGACTATTCAACTGTGCCAAAATATACGGGGTGTTCCATTAGAAAAAAACATAATTGGATGCCGTATCTTTTTAACGTCACCCTGTATAAAATTTCTGATGATGCCAATGGATTCCACGCATCATACTGTATGAATATACGTTTGAAATTTTTTGATACCTCTCACCGTAAAGTAGTCAGAAAATAAAATCGAAATCGGCAAATTTTCAATTCCTCCCTGTATCTCTAAAACGAATGAAGATATCGAAATTTTGATTGTGCCATTCGAGGTTTCTCCAAAATCGAACCCGGAACATGTATATCGGTTTTTCGATAACTCCTCTAGTTATTGAGAATTGAGATAGATCTCCTCCAAAATGTTCTCTAAAAATTGGCCAACACGCGGACACAGAGTTGTTGTGGAATATTGCTCGAATTTCATCGCGAATTCTCTGCTTCAACTGGTTCAGATTTGCAGACATTTCCGTGTACACCGATGATTGAAGGAACCTTCACAAAAAAATCAATGGCCAGTAAAGTCGGGACTTCTGAGAGAATAATTGATGTGACAATTTTTCGATATCACCGAGTGTTTGTCAATTTCAGAGAACGTTTGGAGAAAACGTTGCACGTGGGAGGACAGCATTTCGATGGAATGATTTTTTACAAATAAATTTCCACAATTGGTAGTTCATTTTATGAATGAAAAAAATTTCTACATTGAAAACTGAATGAGTTATAATTTTTCCAAATAGTAAAAACCTTTTCGGACACCCTGTACTTACAAGATTTGAGTACATAGAAATCAGGAACGAATAGTAAGAATGAACAACAAAAATAAAAAACAAATAAAAAAATGAATAAACGTAAGAAACAAACATAGTTATAATAGAAAATTGAATTCGATCTGAACCAGATAAAGTATTGTCCTTTTTTGGTTTATACATATCATCAATAGCTATATGTACATTTATTACTTATTTTGTAAAATCAAACAGAGCTTGCCGAAATATCATGCAACTTATAAGTGTATGTGATTAACTAAAAGACTGATAATGATATAGGTAATTATAATAATGTTTAAGTACCAGAATATTTTTCAGTAGATCATGAAATGTTTCAGTAGATTAGTAGAGATCAATATGCAAATCAGGAGATCTACTGAAAATGTGGTAGAACTGGCAACCCTGCAGCGGACGAAAAATGTTTGCAGACAAGAAGATATTGTCTGCGAAGGAAAAGTACTTGCTTTCGGAAATAGTCGATTTTCGTTCGGAAATTAGATCGTAAAATGTGATTTTTTGTAGAGGTCGACGAAATAGTATTCTTTTTTGTATAATCTCATTTATATGACTAGATTTTAAATTGAAAGTATGATTGTGATATATCGTTGAGAAGCTCATGTTATACTGAATCGAAATTTCCAGAAAAAAATATACTTCGTATTTGAAATAAGAAAAATGGATGCACTTTCGGTCAAACCGAAAGTGTCATATTGCGTCTGATACTAGCGAAATCATACACTCAAGCAATCAAATTGATGAACCAAATTTGAGAAATCCATAGCACCTTGTATATTATATATTCACCTTGATAAATTTACTGGATCAGCTGATCTTGAGAAAGTGTTACAATTCAGTGGTGACAGCGTTGGGCTGCAGTCTTTATTCGAAGCTGCAAAATAAACAAATATTGTATATCGAATCGTCCTCTATCACTGAGCATTGTCGATCTAAATGAAAACCTAGTAGGCGACCTAGTGCGAGGAGGTATAATATTGTCTGTTCATTCAATCAAAATATGTCTGTCTCAAGGTTGGTAGAACTGATTATAATTTGTATAGGAAGGTTGCCTCGATCGATAGTGCGGCAAGGGGGGAAACGGTCACTCGTGACGTCACAGGCAGTAAGACGACAAGTTGTCAACCTTAAAGCGACATGTCATGAAATGTTTACCAAATAGAGTATACAAACATGATACAAACTTTTTGGTCTGCTCAGCATATTTATATTAATTTATAGTATATAATTATAAGTAAGTACCATTATAAAATATGGATATTTACATATACTTCTGTATAATACCTCCAATCTTCGAAATGAGAAGGCAATTTTGGATGGATCAGTAGTACAGAGAGGAATACCTATCTGAAATTTTGTTCCAGGGGCTATTTACCATCAGGTGTGTGTGTTTTGAGGTATGGAGCATAATTATGGAGCAAGTGATTACTTATGCATTGATTATGAACCTACTCATCCTATAAATATCCTGCAAATCAGATAATGTGAACATGAAACTACAGAAAATATAAGAATAATCAACTGATGATCCAGAAGTAGTAGCAGTGGACCAATATTCGTACACAATAACAGATCACTTATTTTATCAATATACTGTATTGTGAAAAATTAACAAACTTTCCTAGATAGAAAATACAAGAGGAAATAGTATTTCATTGTTTGATTATATTGCATTCAAAAACAGAGCAATTGATCGAAGTATTTGAGCATAAGAAAATAACAAAATATGATTCTGAACAAAATTGATGAAAGATAACACTACTATTATAAGTGAACCTATAATAAAGCAATAAAGGATAGTTCAAGGAATCTCTCAAATAAACATAATAGCTCCTCTTTGTTGGGTAACGTACTCTTGCTCAAATATCTCAACTTGAAAACACGTGTGATATCTTCTGATGTCCATTTTACCCGTTCAGCAAGAATCTCAACATTCACAACTGGTCTGGTTCTGATCATTTTTCCAAACTTCCATACTTATGGTGTTTCTCTTGTTGTATTTGGTATTATTGATGGGATTCCTACCTTGAGTTTTCTTCTCTTTGGTGTGTGATTTACCAATTCTGCTTGTGCCGTTCAAAATCCTCGGCATCGAAATGGGCAGAACATATTCGCCAAGTTTTGGTATTAAATGAATTAAAATTACGTCCACAAAATTGAATCCATTTCTCACGAATAGACTCATCTTATGGAAATTAATGGAAACACAAACTAAATTCACTAGTCTCATTACACTTGTACGAATTTTAACAAGAAGTGACCGAACAAATTATCATTTTTACATTTTTAAGTTCAAAATGGTTCAAATATTCGAAAATACTGACAACTGTCAACTCAATAATACATGCGCCGGCCAATCGCCGGCGTACATATCATACACGAAGTGTACGAGAGTGCTACACTTTTCGTGCAAAAGAAAGGGCCTATTACGTCATGAGTTACTCAATGTTACTCGCGGGGTGCGATCGAGGCAACCTTCCTCTACAAAATAGTCATCAGTTCTACCAACCTTGGTCTGTCTGTCAAGTGGCGCTGAAGCAGAGAAATTGGAAAGAGCTCATTTGTTTATGTCAAAATAGACCATATTAGGTTGATATTCTCTTCTTCTATTTTTCTCCAATATGTACTCAACCACAGACGTGCTTTCTATCATTGACGTGATATTTGATAGGAAGACGATGAAGAAGATTCATGTAATCATAAAATTATTTTCTGACAGTTGTCATTAACTCATAACTTCGTCTTTGTGGATGTGTTGAACTTTGATTTCCTTTCTTGGAAATTACAATTATACCTAATCATTTCTTCTATAGTATTGGTTTTTCATCAAAGTTTGTTGATTGGTTTGTGAGTGCGATTGCGTTATTTTGCAATGTCATCTGAAAACTGCGCACTCCAGGAGGTGAAGGTGTAATTATTGTATTATCAAGACATGGTTTCCCCAATCCCCACTGTTGTGATTTTGAGCCGCAAATCCTGAGGCATCAATGGGTTCACGCCATATTCATTGGATATCAAGGTGAACCCTTTTTTCTTGAATCGCATAATATTTGAAACTTAATGATATTTATATTTCAGGAATGTGAGTTTTTGAAGTAAGCGAACATGATACTATATGTTTCCAACATTTTAAGGGAACTGTTTCTTGCCAATGAAGAATAGGAAACGGTTTTGGAAAGAGAGTATACGGTTCCAAGTTTGTTCAAGGTAGGAATATATAAATAAAATGGTATTTAACAAGTTTGTACCTATACTAACTAACTAATTATTAGTTTACGGTTCCAAGTTTGTTCAAGGTAGGAATATATAAATAAAATGGTATTTAACAAGTTTGTACCTATACTAACTAACTAATTATTAGTTTCGGTATGAAATTTACCAAGAACTTGACTTTGGTTCCTTTAAAAGTTGTTCCATAGTCAAAAGTCATTAAATTCATTTCAGAATGGTACAGGACATTGAAACTAGGGACAATATTTTTATATTTTCAGACTCATCAATGTTGTTTGGAATATGATGCTGAAGAGGAATTCCTGCCTTAAGGATCACGACCTAAGGATGAAGAAGCATCTGAGGAGGAAACGGGCATTTGAACAGATATTATAGAATGATAATAAATAATAATAAAGTTCATTCAGAATGTTGACTTGAATATAAATTAAAAAGATAGGTATTGGTATTGAATATTCATTTGTGGCAATAATAGACACATCTTCTCATATTTAGTGAAGTTCGTAGCTTCAATAAGATGATTTAATAAAAAATAATCATTGTTTCACTTCAAAAATACTTTACCTATATATACAATATTGGTACAATATATATAGTGTTTTCAAACTTACCTGCTAATACATCTGTACAACAATAAACAGGGTATCAGAAGAGAACAAACTATATAGTAGAATAAAAATTGAAATAATTCTTCATAATTATGTACAATTTATTAAAAAAATTGTATTGCCATTCATACATACAAGTTATATTCCAATAAAAAATTCTAAATATCCCAGCAACTTGACAAAGAACCCTGAACAATAGAATACCATATATCTGAGGATGATTCCTATACAATCTTGAAATCATTTTACTCTAGTGAAATTCTGAGTGGCTCACTACGAAAATGGTCCTGAGTGTGCTGGAGTGGAATATCACATGTTCCTCATCATCTAATTGATTGCTTGAAAAATAGATAATTTGAATATACATTGGGGTGTGTATAATTTGCAGCCTAGAATGAAATGCTGGGGACTGGCTATTTCCAGCAAACAAATCGTTGTTCTTACTATATGGATTTAGCTCATCGAACTACAGGATGAATAGTTTCTGATTTTATTCACTGCCCCATTTTCTTGTGTGTTTTTTCATAAAATCTTGTGAACTGGATATTTTTTGCAGCTCGACTTTCAAGGACCTATCTATAAAAAATATAATGATATTTTGTGTTTGGAGCAGAATATCCATAAGACATTGATGAAATAACCAGATTGAGTCTAACCTTAGTGCTTCTATATATTTATTTCAGATGGTAAATTTTCCATTCTGTTCTCGAACATCATCATCCTTCTGGTACATTCCTTCTGAACATCACTCACATAATGATTTCTAATGTGATACTTCCACATCACTCATAGTTTTTCGTTTTTCAACTGAAAAGCTATTAATGTAACTACTCTTCGCTGTAGGTAGGTACCTGAAATTTTACATCACTAAAGACATATTTTCACTGCAAATAATGGAATTTCATGAATTATATAGTAACTTATCAAAAATATAGAAGGAAATAAGCAGCCCCTACCTTTCTGCTTGGCTTGCATGTCGAAAAAGTGTAATAGCACTATTGAGTTTCCGAAGTTTTCACAGTTCCAACTTAAATTCAAGTTGCATCATAAATCATACTAATACAGCATTTCCTAAACATCTTCCTGCTTCCATTCAAGTATAGGTAGATGATTTTCATACTTGATAATATCTTTCGTGATAATGTTTCATTTTCGGGTTTCAACATGACAGATTTTTATTTACAAACTTGACAGGACCATGAAAAATGTTACGGTTATGAATAAAAAATGAATAACTTAGTTTACTTAATTCACGTAGATGTCTCTGAACTACATATTTTCTTCATTTGTCTTTTCAATGAACAGACAATATTATAGCTCCTGCCTACTAACTACCTAACTAGGTTGTCATCCAGAACGACAATGCACTGAGTATGATTTGAATGAAGAGTGAAAGCTCGAAGTCATTTCCACAAAATGTTGATAAAATCGTAGACGAGAGAAAAACAACTACTTCCGTGGCAATATGCCACGCAGAACATTGAATTACATCCTCTTAAAATCTATGCTGAAATTCGTACTAAACGAATACTGATGCAAGTGTTTTTTTTTAATTTTGTGTTGTTCAGGAATGCTCGAGACTATCAACAGACTGGTTTCGAGCTTTGGATATCATCAGTGCAGAGGTGTCCCCAGATGGCATTCATGACCGCCATCTGGTGCGAACCTGACCCAACGTGAACACATCTCAGCATGTAATACCCACGAGGCGTCCGGACACTGCGAAATGAACACAACGCCATCAACCTAGACAGAGGAAAGAAACAATCTAATACTGAAATTTACAATGCCATCTGGGGACACCCCTGCACTGATAAGAGCCAAAGCTCGAAACCGGTCTGTAGGAAGTCTCAAGCGTTCCTGAACAATTTGGGCATAACCCTTGATTATACAGGGTGTTTCATAGGTAAAGGGAAATATTTCATTGGTACCTAGGGGTCACCAAGGTGGTTCTGAAAATAACATATTTGATAGGTCTTAGAGTCTTCATAACGGAGATACAGGGCGATTTATCGATTTCGAATAAATATTCATTCGTCTATATGTATTGACCTACCCAGTATATTTTCCTCAAATTTGGTGGGGAGCTTATACTTGGGACGTTAAATTTATTCACCTATCGGGCGCAGTGAAAATCCAGGTTCGGCTTCAGGAAAAATTCACATTTATTCGAAATATTAAAATAACACACTGTATTCAATAATCAACACAGTACATCAAAAGAATCGTGAAGAGGAGGAAAAACTGAATTTTTTATGATGCTTTCTGTTTTCCCGCCACCAATTCTCATCGTAACAATCATAAACAGGAAGTTGAAAGTATTTCAATTTGAAGAGTATTGGAATTATGAAACCAGTGTCAATTATGATTATTTGATATTTCAGTCAAAAACTCGCTCGAAAGAACTCACTAAGTCTCACAGTCTTCATAAGTCTTAAACTACCCAGTAACATTTTCTCAAATTTGGTAGGTACCTATGTAGCTTACTTGAAACGATGGATTCATTAACCTATCAGGCGGAATGGAAATAATACCATAAATAATTATAATTCGATGATTCACCCTGTATCTCTGTTATAAATACTATGAGACTTTTCCTGAAGCTGAACCTGTATTGCCATTCTGCCTGATAGGTCAATGAATCCATCGTCCCAAGTAAGCTCAATATCAAATTTGAGAAAATATTACTGCGATGGGTAGTCTAATACTTATATGGACGAGTGAATAATTATTCGAAACCGATAATTCACCCTGTATCTCTGTTATAAAGACTGTGAGACTGAGTAAGTTCTTTCGAACGATCATTCAACAAGAATATATCAAATAATCATAATTGAAAGTAGTTTCATAATTTCAATACTCTTCAAATTGACATACTTTTAGCTTTCTGTTTATGATTGTTACGATTAGAATTGGTGGCGGGAAAACAAAAAGCATCAAATCCAGTTCAGTTTTTCCACCTCTTCACGATTCCTTCGATGAACTCTGTCAATTATTACATACAGTGTGTTATTTTAATATTTCGAATAATTGTAAATTTTTCCTGAAGCCGAACCTGGATTTTCACTTCACCCGATTGGTGAATGAATTCAACGTCCCAAGTATAAGCTCCATGCCAAATTTAAGAAAAATATACTGGGTAGTTCAATACTTATAGACGAATGAATATTTATTCGAAATCGATAAATCGCCCTGTATCTCCGTTATGAAGACTCTAAGACCTATCAAATATGGTATTTTCAGAACCACCTTGGTGACCCCTATCTACCATTGAAATATTTCCCTTTACCTATGAAACACCCTGTATACACTCAGCATTTTTTTCATGTTCTGGTTCTCACGAAAAAGGATATCCTGTAATGTTCAGAAAACATCGTGAGAACCAAGGGAAATGAGGTAGGAATAGGTGTTCTTCTTAAATTTCTGGAGTTTATATGTCTCGGGGAACACCTTCCTTGGCAATGTGTTCCAGAGCCTCGCTGTTCGTTGGATGAACGAGTTTTTGGATAGAGATGTTCTGCAGGTCTCCAAAGTGACCACGAAGGGATGCGAAGCCTAAACTCGACGGGTTAATCTCGCGGGGACTGCCAAGGGAGGAACAATTCTTGACATTTCAGGAGAGCATCGTCCATGAAAATATCTATGAAATAGAGCCTGATCGCTTTTCTACGGTGTTTCAGAGAAGTGAGTGAGTTTGTGAGCAAGGCATCACCCACGAGACGAATTTCCCTTTTTTGAACAGAATCCAACAATTTCAGGGTAAATTTGGGTGCTGCACTCCAATTATGGGAACAGTATTCCAGGACAGGTCGGATCTGTGCCTCATAGATCATAAGCAGCTGACTGGAAGTGAAATAGCTCCTGGCTCAAAACAGAAAATCAAGTTTTTGGAATGCATTTTCAGCAATTGATCTCATACTTGATTTTTCCAAGAAAGGTTATTGCTGATAGTAATACCATGCATCGAAATCAATGTCTTCAAAGGTATGGTCACTCCTGACAAGCTTTTATTGGGCACAGTGGGATCGGCTTTTCTAGAGAAACGACATGCTGTTGTTTGCATTGAAATCTACCAAGTTATTGGATCTCCATTCCAGAATTGTTGCCAAGTCCATACATTTCTTCCTCGTTTGTTTCTGATTTGCCTGGCTGGTATTGGAACCCTGGAAGAGAAGGCGGTATGGAGGGTACTATCATCCGCGAAGCTGTGTACTGGACATGAAGTTGCTTCCAACAAACCATTGATATGGATTAGAAATAGTGTTGGTGCTAGAATTGATCCTTGCGAAACACCAGCATTTATGATAAGATAGTTAGATGAAACTCCGTCTACCACTACATGGAAAGACCTGTTTGAGAGAAAACTAGCTAGTAGAGAACATAGCTGGGGAAGCAAGCCATAAGATGGAAGCTTGGCGAGGAGTCCGTGATGCCCGACTCGATCGAATGCCTTGGAGACATCAAGTGCCACGGCTAAGGTTCCACCATATTTTTCAATTGATTGCTGCCATATATGTGAGACGTAAGCGAGCAGGTCACCAGTTGATCTCTGATGACGGAAGCCATCATATTGCCTATCGGTGATAATACCTGAATGTTCCAGGTATTCCATGAGCTCGATGTTGATAGCTTCCTCCATGATCTTTGAGATAATCGATAGCAGTGCGATTGGTCTGTAGTTACTAAGTATGGTCTTTTTGCTTTTGTTTAGGAACTGGTTGTACTCTTGCAATTTTTCAGTTGGACGGAAATATCGGGAATATTTAGTAAAGAAACACTTGCATCAGTAATGCAATGTTATGTGTGGCATATATAGCCAGGAAAGTAGTTGTTTTCCTCTCGTTATCTACCATTTTCGTTCATTTCATGATCTTTTGTCAAAATGACTTCCAGATTTTAGTCTTTATTTAACAATTCATTCCACTTTGGGCATTGTGGATTTCGTAGTTGAAATTACGCTAGTCGGGCTAGTATGATATGGTTTGGCGGAAATATGTACAGGGTGATTCACCATATATGTCCCTCCCTCTAGCTCAGTTATTTTTGAACCGATTGCAAAATTTTAAATATCATCTAAAATAATTTTCGATAGAGTTTTTTTCCGCTACTTCAGAAAATACAAGGTGCTCGGAACAAACGATCTACAGGGTACTATTCGATTTTTTCAAATGGAACACCCTATTTTTCATTGTATTTTCAGATCCTCCCTGAAGAGCTGATTTCATCAATGTATCACACTTGGGGTCTAGCGAAAATGATTACAGAGAAATAGGGTGTTCAAAATCGAGATTTTTCAACTATAGGATTTTTCTGTGACGAAACTATTCATTATAGGTCAAAACGGCTTTCATGTCCGTATCTTAACTTTTGATTCACTTTCTACTGACATTTAATAATTGGAACAGATACAGGGAGATCAGAATTCTGAATCTTGAACCACACTGTATATGTTCCAATTAAATTTTAGTAGATAGTAAATCAAAAGCTGAGATAGGGACATCGAAGCCGTTTTGACCAATAATGAATAGTTTCGACACAAAAAAATTCTAAAGTTGAAAAATCTCGATTTTGAACACCCTATATATCTGTAATCATTCCCGCTAGACCCCCAAGTGTGATACATCGATGAAATCAGTTCTTCAGGGAGAATCTAAAAGTACAATGGAATACAAGGTGTTCCATTTGAAAAAATGAAGTAGTACTCTGTAGATCGTTTGTTCCGAGCACCCTGTATTTTCTGATGCAACGGGAAAGAAAATTCTGAAAAATTATTTCAGATGATTTTTCAAATTTTCAAATCGGTTAAAAGATAAATGAGCTAGAGGGGGAGACATTTATGGTGAATCACTCTGCTGTACACTGTGTCCCATTTTGATTGAGACTGCACTGTATCTCAGCTATTATTGAAGATAGAGACATGCGGTTTTCGCGACCCTGTATCACTTTTTTGTAAAACTTTCAAAGCCACAAACAGAAATATCCCAACTACTTTTGTTCCTGAAATACAGGTCGAAAACGAAAATGTTCACTTTTGGAGATGTTATAATTTCTCAGGCCCCGTATAAGATGGAAAAAAATGAAAACTGCTTATAATAATATTTTTACATAATTCAAAAGATTGGATTTGAACCGGAATACCGTAGCCCGAGATGGCTGACGTCTTTCTGGAAACCTAATAAGATCGTATTCATTGTTTGAATTTTGTAACAAAATAAAATATGCCAATTCTTAACCGCATCGCTGCTTTGACATTTTCGTCAGAAAGGTTAAAACATTTTATAATATCATACTTTTCTGAATTTTGAAATTCCGTGTTTTCACCGTCAGCCATCATTATCGATTTGTATTGACTGTGTTTGTGACAGTTTCCATGGATTCAATAAACAAAACATTTTTTGCTTTTGCTTTTAAAAAAATCAGAATATGCCACTGACTTTCATGTTAAAATATCTATCATAAGCAGTTTTATTTTTTTTTCTATCTTATACAGGGCGTGAGAAATAATAACATCTCCAAATGTGAACATTTCCGTTTTCGCCCTGTATTTCAGGAACGAAAGTTGGAATATTTTTGTTTGTGGCTTTGAAAGTTTTACAAAAAAGTGATACAGGGTCGCGGAAACCGCATGCCTCTATCTTCAATAATAGCTGAGATACAGTGCAGTCTCAACCAAAATGGGACACAGTGTACTTCCTCACTATCTTCAATACACTCACTTTGGTAGACGTGCTGCTGCGTCCCCACCACCGACGACACCATCGACACCGCGTCCACCTCCCGCCCCCCGCCCCCGCCCTCGGTCGTCGAGTCCGACAGGTTGCCCGCCGCCGAAGTGCCGCCCCCGCTCTCCCTGTCCGAGCTGACGCGCACGCCCGAGTCGGCGCTGCAGCTGCCGCGGTCGCCGGCCGGCAGCTGCCCGAGCGCGTGCGCAGACGGCGTGCCCAGCAGGCCGCCCGAGCTGGGGGTCAGCGCGCCGCCCGCGTGGCAGCGGGGCAGCGAGGCGAGCGATTCCTGGTCGGAGAGGCAGCCGCTGGAGGCCAGCTGACGTCTGGCCTGGAATCATACGTGATTGATGAACTTGGTGCGTGAGAATTCAAGGTAAAAACTGACATGAAAAAATTTGCGAGACCGTAGGTCTAAACTCTGGTAGAAGTCCATACGAAGTCGCTGTCAGACCCCCGACTTCAATCTCGGGATCCCGACTTTAAAGTCGGGGGTCTCACCTGTACAGGATGTCTCTTTATATTTTGATCCCTACCTATACTATACGAAGTGGAGAAAACTTCAAATATTAAAGTTGTAGGTTCCCATCTGTACAATCCTTTTGCACCCTTTGAACAAACAAATGCGAATCGCAAAATGGAAAAAGAGAGTATGATGGAACCTTCATTACAGAACTTTTGTAGATGTACATCACATCCGAACGTTCCTTTTTATATGTACCTATACTATACCTATATACATACAATAATTTTATATCCATTGGATAATCATCATCATAGGATCAATCAAAAACCTCCTTTTTGGATTTTCTTTGAATGTCAAATAATGGATCGCACCTGTACGATCATTATCGTACGTACAGGGTGATTGTTAATTTATATTCTACTCAATAGCTAAGAATCTCATTGTTGAATAGATACAAAAAAATTGAGAGAATCGGAGTTGTTCAGAGTCATATAGAATTTTCTTAGGTATAATGTCTATATGACTTTGATATACAAAATATACCGGGTGTCCCAGTATACCTGTTCCAATAGATTATCTCAGCCATTTCAAAAGATGAAAATTTGAAAATTACCTGATCTTCTACAATTCTAATGATTTGAAATTATCATTGAAGTCAAAATCAAGATTATAAAAATATCGTAGCCTACTGCAGTTCCTTCAATTTGAAATTTCAATTGTTATTTTTTCCATCAAATCAAATTTAAAACACATAGTGTGATACATCGTTGGAACGGTAATTTTAAGTAGAAATCAGAAATTGCAAAAAATATACAGAGTGCTATTTGAAATAAAAAATCACTTCCGGTCAAACCGGAGAGAACTAACAACAATAGTGTGATTTAGGTATTTATTAAATCGAGCATTTTTGTCGAAGTCAACTTGAAATGAATGATATGAGTTTCGATGCCTTTTGGAAATTTTAATCAAAAAAGCTGCCGGAAAAATTTCCAGGCAACAAAATCCTCATTGAAATGTCAAGTCTGGGATGATTGTGAACTCAGTTCAACTGTTGCTACGCTAACGTGGTGCCGACGAAAATTAGATAGACTGCAGGGACCTGTTGCCTGTTAGGGATTTTCGGAGAGTCCAAATTGAATATTCACTTGGAATATTTTCATACAGGAAGCCTATTAGCAAGTAACTGTCATCGTGGGTGGTTCGGAGGATTCATCATCGGATTCGTTACAGTAAATCCTCACGCACCGAATTCATCACACTGATAGTATATACTCCTCACTATTGTGATTATACCGCACTCCTCATTAGGAAGCTAAATCAAAATATTTCCACTACTGTTAAATTCAAATTTCGAAGTGGTTTGACGCTCGCTTACTTCTTGTAGCTGCTCTTGAGCTTGTTGCAGCTGAATTTCCTTCGCGTTCAATTGAGCTGCCAATGACAGACTCCTTTCAGCTTCATCTCTGGCGTGTCTCAAAAGGTTCCATCTCTCTCTTTCCCTCTCTTCCCGTTCAGTCGACAGCTGCTGAAATGACGTCTCGTTATCTCTCGTCCGCTGAAACAGATACGACAATATTATAATAAACAAAAGACCTGTCTAATATGTATAGATAGATAGCCGACCTGGCTATAGCTCCTGATGGAATTGTATAAACACTGACCTGGCCATAGCTTCTGATGAAATCTCTCAGCTCCTTCTCCTTATCTTCCAGCGTCAGATACAACTGTTTCATTTGGTTTAGAAGATCGAATTTTTCCGCTTTCAGTCGTCGTTTGTCTGCTTTGAGGGCTGAAATTCAACGAGTCAATTAGCTCCAACTCAACCGCAAACTTTCTGCAACTCACTAGCTAGAGCTTCTTTGGCCAACAGCAACTCCATCTCTAGTGCCTGAGCTTCAGTCGGTTCCCCATCGATAGCACCGACCGACTTCTTCTCTGACAGGACAGAAGTAGCACCAGAGACGACCAGTCGCTTCAGCCTCGTCACTTCTGCCTGCAGACGTTCGTTTTCTTGCCTCACCCTGCGGATGGTCGTCAGGGACTTGGAATAGTTAGAAGGGGAGGGTAGCAGAGCTGAAAGATCATCCTGGTTGTCGTCCGAGCTTCTTTGGGATGGTGGCGATGAAGAGTCTATCAAAGAAACGGAGATGAGTCGAAAATTACCCTGTGATTTTTTTCTATCGCTTGGAGCGCACGAGAGGGAATCCCTATAATGTTCAAAGAACATCGTGCGTTCCTAGGGAGGATAGGGATAGGAGGTAGGTATTGGAATTTTTTTTGAACTTCTGGAGATTATATGTTGTTGGGAATACTTCCTCAGGCAATGAATTCCAGAGCCCAGCCGTTCTATGGATGAAGGAGTTTTGATAAAGTGCTGTTCGACATCTTTCGAGGTTGACAACAAAAGGATGTGCTGACTAGGCTTGTCTAGTTGGTCTGACTGGTATTGCTCGTGAAGGGATGATAGCAGAGATTTCCGAAGAACATTTCCCGTGGAAGTATCGATAGAAAAGTGAAAGGTCGCCGACCTTTCTACGGTGTTCCAATGATGTCAAAGAGTGAGTGTGGCGTCACCCACCAGGCGGATGGCTCTTCTCTGGATGGAATCTAAGAGCATCAGCGTATGTTTCGGTGCTGAACCCCATATGTGGAAACAGTATTCTAGAACAGGCCGTATCTGCGCTTTGTAGATCATGAGGAGCTGTTGAGGTGTACGGTACGTAGCATTTCGCACGGGACAAGAATCCGAGTTTTTGTGAAGCAGCTTTTTCGATTGATCTGACATGATTATCCCATGAAAGAGTGTTGCTGATGGAAATACCGAGCATAGATATGGTGGGCTTAGTGGGGATGGTGAATGAGTTCCGCCTTTCTAGAGAAAATACAGGCTTCAGTTTTGGTGGCGTTGAATTCAACTAGGTTGTTGGTTCCCCAGGCTGTGATTTCAGCAAGGTCTTCAGTGAGTTCTTAGTTTCCTGGGAAGAAATGGGAATTCTGGAAGAGAACGCAGTATGGAGGGTACTATCATCTGCAAAGCTGTGGATGGGGCAAGTTGTTACTCCCAACAGATCATTGATATGAAGAAGGAATAATGTTGGTGCCGAAATTGATCCTTGTGGAACGCCGGAATTGATGCTAATTGTATCAGACGATACACCGTCTACCACCACATGAAGCGATCTGCCTGAAAGAAAACTCGATAAGAGATGGCATAGCTGAGGTGGTAAGCCGTATGATGGTAGTTTGTGGAGGAGTCCTTCGTGCTAAACACGGTCAAATGCTTTCGATATGTCCAACGCGACAGCTAGAGATTCCCCGTGTTTCTCTAATGAAGCTTGCCATAAATGGGTGACGTAGGCAAGTAGATCTCCAGTAGATCTTCGGTGGCGAAAGCCGTATTGTCTATCATTGATGATTCCCGAGCTCTCCAGATATTTGATGAGCTCAATGTTGATGGCTTTCTCCATCACTTTGGAGATTACTGATTACAGGGCAATGGGCCTGTAGTTGTTGGGCAGGTTCTTGTTCCCTTTTTTGGGGATTGGTTGGACTCTAGCTGTCTTCCAGCATGATGGAAAAATACCCGACCTGTACGAGACGGTAAACAACTTGCAGAGAATCGGTGTTAATTCTGGTGCACATTTTTTGAGGATAATAGGTGGAATTCCATCAGGACCGTTAGCCTTATTTGTTTTGAGACCAAGCAAAATTCGTCTGATAGTGCGTTGACGGAAGACGATTTCGGGCATTCGACTCTCAACGGGTGGAATGTCTCGCGGCACTTTTCCTTGGGAATCTAAAGTAGAGTTTGCTGCGAAAATCTCTGCAAAAATATTTGCTTCCCCCTGCGATGTTGTTGCTAATGTGCCGTCGGATTTGGACAGTGGTGGAAATGAACTATTAGTGAAATGTCTTCCGACCGCTTTAGCAAGGGACCAAAACGAACGGGAGCCATTGGGATAATCTATGAGTTTCGATCTTATCTTGGCATTGTATGTTTCTTTCGAAGCATCTATTGTTTGGCTGCAGTTATTTCTGGCATCAACGTATTCTGCTCTAGTCGCGAGGTTGGGGTTTTTGCACCAGCGATGGTAGGCTGTTTGTTTCAAGGCAACAGTTCTAGAACAGTTTTTGTTGAACCAGGGTTGATGGTGATGATCTTTTCGAAGAATGAGGTGTATGAGATTGTATGTGTCCATTCCGAGCATGATGATCTCGGATATTTCTGCAGCACACTGTGAAGGGTCCCCAGAGTCAGAGAATACTCTATGCCAAGGAAACTCGGGGAAAAACATGCGGAGACCGTCCCAATCTCCTGGATTGTAATGCCATATACGACGTGGGGGTGCCGGATCAAAAATTGATGCGGTGCCACGACGAAATTCATTATCACGGGAATAAATGCACTTAGGAAGTAGAAGGTCAGTTCAAACTGGGACAGTGATCATTTTGATATATGCACTCGAATAGGTATATCCATGAGGCTCAGATGGAGTTTTATACTGAGCATTGTTATTACGTGAAAGAACTCATAGGTTAGGATATTTTCCTGAAAAAGTGGATATAACAATGAGATTATCAGTTACCATTTGTAGAATAGATGGGAACAACGTGAAGACATCAACAAAAGTTTGAGAAAGTGTACAGGGAATTCATAAATGAAGCAAGCTTAAAGTTGTGTAGGTCGGAGTGATCGTCCGCAGGTGGCTAAGTAAATGTCAGATGTACAATGAGAAAAATCAATTGGGCAATCAAATAACCTGACGAACTATGCGCTGGTTGGTACACAATGAAACTATTTATTCATGATAAATCGTATTTATTCGCGAATTTCTGTTGGTATTAGACCAAAGAAAGTCACAAACAGTAACTTTTTTTTGTTTTTTTTTTAATTGACTGCCATTACTTGATGGAAATCCATGGCAAATGTAAAAACTCCACAAACGATAAGATTTCCACGAAATTCTCAAACACACATGTTTCGCTAACACAGTAGCTTCGTCCGGTGATACTGGTACAATGAACTGTTCATTTTGTGGAAATCTTATCGTTGGTGAAGTTTTTACATTTAAACAGTAACTATCCAATTGTTCTTGTCAAATAATTCTATCGATTTTATATACAGGGTGATTCACATAGGAACCGACATAGAGCAGGGGCATGTAGGGGGTCCCAAAATATGGCAATTTAATGTAACTTACCTCTATACCAAGTTGCTTCCCTAAGGAGTTATAGGCTTTGAAAGTGAAGTTATAAATTTTGAAAAAAATCAATATCTCCGTTATTCTTGAACTTTGTGGAGGTATTTAGGGCTTCACTTGACAGTAACTAGAGCTTAATTGAAATTTGTAAAGAGGGTATACCGGGTGGCGCACCATTAATATTCAACAGAATTTTGTTAGCCCTTGATGGATTTCAAAAATCTTTGCTTTTTTGTGTGGGCAATTCGATTCTAAAACTTTTCTTACTCTAGTCTGCGCATATGGTAGTGAGTACATTACTAGCCTACAAAACACAGCCGAAAACTCTGAAAGAGAGCTGATGGGCGTTGCCTGAAAAGGATGTTAGCCAGCTCTCTTAAGCGAACCACATCAGTCATTGAGAACACCTTGGGGCTTGCAAAAAGGTCCCATTAGGGACTAGTTGCTGACGTGCGAACGTCCCCCACCCGTACCAGTACCAGTACCAGTACCAGTACCAGTACCAGTACCAGTACGTTGTTCGCTGTTTGCTGACAATACGTGAAATGACTAGGCATTCCAGGGAATGACGGATTTCACTAATTGACGCCGACATATAAATAAACTCACCTATATTATCAGGCTGGCTGCTACATCCTGGCTTGGGCGAATCGGATCGCGTTTCCAGCGATGACCGACTGTCTTTCAATCCTCCTAGACTCGCGTCCAGCGCCACCTCGATCTCTTTAGCAGCGTCCACAGCCCTCTCTTTATCCACTTCCGAATCTTCGCTCCGCACGGAGTTCGACTTGGTCTTCCTCAGCTCCTTAAAAATCAAAGTTGGAGCTTGCTTTATTGTTTATGAATAAGATTCTGGTAACAAAGCTCAAAACGATCAAAATGTAAGATATGAAGTACGAATACGTTTTTTTTTCATGTTCTGGTTCCCACGAAAAGGGATATCCTGTAATGTTCTTGGTGTTCTTCTCAAATTTCTGGAGGTTATATGCCTCGGGGAACACTTCCCTTGGCAATGTGTTCCAGAGCCTTGCTGTTCGTTGGATGAACGAGTCTTTGGAAAGAGATGTTCTGCAGGTCTCCGAAGTGGCCACGAAGGGGTGCGAAGCCTCAACTCGACGGGTTAATCTCGCGGGGACTGCCAAGGGAGGAACAATTGTTGATATTTCAGAAGGACATCGTCCATGAAAATATCTTTGAAATAGAGCCAGATCGCCAACTTTCATACGGTGTTCCAGAGAAATGAGTGAGTTTGTGAGCGAGGCATCACCCACGTCACGAATTGCCATTTTTTGGACAGAATCCAACAGTTTCAAGGTATGTTTGAGTGCTACACTTCAAATATGGGAACAGTATTCCAGGACAGGTCGGATCTGTGCCTTATAGATCATAAGCAGCTGACTGAAAGTGAAATAGCTCTTGACCCGAAACAGAAAACCAAGTTTTTGAGATGCACTTTTAGCAATTGATCTCACGTGATTTTCTCAAGAAAGGTTATTGCTGATAGTAATACCAAGCATCGAAATGGATGTCTTCAAAGGTATGGTTACTCCTGACAAACTTATGTTGGGCACAGTGAGATCAGCTTTTCTAGAGAAAAGGCATGCTTGTGTTTTGTTTGCATTGAAGTCTACCAAGTTATTGCCACTTGCACTCTCAAGTCAAGGATATACAAAAGTAGACCAAAGTGTTCACACTGTCTTGGTTATCATACTATTTTAGCCTGGTACGCCACAAATTTCGGTACCAAACCAAGCTGGTAACTTTACCAACAAAGCTCAAAACGATCAAAATATAAGATATGAAAAAGTATCGACGAATATAAAGACGAGAATAAATAAGCTAAATGAATCTACAAGTACTTATACGCTTATAAATCCAACATTACAAAAAATAAACTAAAAAGATACAAACACAAGAGAATAATTTCAAAGCATGGAATATGTGAAGGCAGAGCATACTTGTGGGGCATCAATGAAGTCAGTTAGAATATACATATCAGAAAATTGCTAGAAATTCGTCAACGGTATAATAGTAATAGTTTTTTCTCAGTTATTTTGAAACTACAATTTAGTGAAATGCCCTTGATCACATCCATTATAAACAATGGAGTTCTTAACAAGGGTTGAATGTGGTTGAATTTGATATTATCAGTATGTGTAATTTCATTATATTGGTGTTTCACATTCTTATTGGCCAATTTCTGCCTTTTTTTGTGGATTAAACAAACAAACGTCATGTTTCTCTGTTCCACAAACATTGATATGTAGAAATCATTAAATTTCGCCTCACATAAATATCTCAATCCTTTTTTGTGGGTAATGAACACTACCTTGAATTGACATTCACTACGTGTAGTTAGGAAGATGGCTGCCATTATGGTATGATTTGCACACGTTCTACATCGATATGGATTGAAGTTGAGATCAATACGAATCGATTTGATTCAGTCAATCTAGGTCTTACGTTGCTGCGTTTCTGCGTTACAGTGCTTTAAATTTTTTTTTAAAGAGGGGGGTAATAATAAATCATTTGCACATGTCTGCCTTTGGAGCTGACGTTATATGTATGTTTTGTTGTATTTATCCCTATTATGAACAATAATGTTCCTTTGGGTAATAAAGACAATCAATCATCCTGAAAACGATAGAAATTGAAGAGGCAGACATACAGGGCTATGCATCATCACGGGACGGAGATATAATGCCAAAGAATTCAAACTGAATCCAATTCATTCCACCTTTTTTTTATCGCTTGGAGCGCACGAAAGGAAATGGATGATGATGGGACAGGAGGTAGGTATTGGAATTTTTTTTGAACTTCTGGAGATTATATGTTGTTGGGACTTCCTCAGGCAATGAATTCCAGAGCCTAGCCATTCTATGGATGAAGGGGTTTTGATAAAGTGCTGTTCGACATCTTTCGAGGTTGACAACGAAAGGATGTGCTGACTGGGCTCGTCTAGTTCGTCTGACTGACATTGCTAGTGAAGGGATGATAGCAGAGATTTCCGAAGAACATTCCCCGTGGAAGAATCGATAGAAAAGTGAAAGGTCGCCGACCTTTCTACGGTGTTCCAATGATGTCAAAGAGTGAGTGAGTGTGGCGTCACCCACCAGGCGGATGGCTCTTCTCTGGATGGAATCTAAGAGCATCAGCGTATGTTTTGGTGCTGAACCCCATATGTGCGAACAGTATTCTAGAACAGGCCGTATCTGTGCTTTCTAGATCATGAGAAGCTGTTGATGTGTAAAGTACCTAGCTTTTTGCACGGAACAAGAATCCGAGTTATGAAGCAGCTTTTGAGATGGATCTGACATGATTATCCCATGAAAGAGTGTTACTGATGGAAATACCGAGCATAGATATGGTGGGCTTGGTGGGGATAGTGGTGCCAGACATTACAATATCGGGCATACTGTGTTCCGCCTTTCTAGAGAAAATACAGGCTTGAGTTTTGGTGGCGTTGAATTCAACTAGGTTGTTGGTTCCCCAGGCTGTGATTTCAGCAAGGTCTTCATTGAAAGCATTAACCTGTCTTCGCCGTGAGTTCTTAGTTTCCTGGGAAGAAATGGGAATGGGGGAGACCACTGATTTTTTGAAACGGCATTATCGTGAACTCTATACTGAAAAACTACTAGTGAATTAATTTTAATTTTTTTCCTTTATGCTAAGACGATGAAAAAAATAAATTCGAATATGTCCATTCCAAAACACACAATTCCTGCGCCATTTGAAATGTTGTCAATTCGTTGGTGTGACTGGTGCGACGTCTTAGTCCCAACACGCCTATTATCCTTGAACTCACCAATCACACCGCAACACTGTAGAATGACGAGGTATCAGAGAGAGATAGCTACAGTTCGGGACTAATACGTCACGGCTCCACCATCATATTCGGCTTTTCGAAATATCGAATGAAATATGCTGATTTCAAAACGATATAGATTCGATTCCCTTAAACTTCAACTCATAATATTGATTGTACATCAAACGTAAATCATAATTCGTCGATTGGAAGAGGTTTTGCACGGATTTCTTCCCTCAGTGGTCTTCCCAAGAGAACGCAGTATGGAGGGTACTATCATCTGCAAAGCTGTGGATGGGGCAAGTTGTTACTTCCAACAGATCATTGATATGAAGAAGGAATAATGTTGGTGCCAAAATTGATCCTTGTGCTAGGCTAGGCTCTGGAATTCATTGTCTGTGGAAGTATTCCCAACATCATATAATCTCCAAAAGTTCAAGAAAAATTCCAATACCTACCTCCTGTCCCTATCCTTCCTAGGAACGCACGATGTTCTTTGAACATTATAGGGTTTCCCTTTCGTGCGCTCCAAGCAGTCCAAGCGATAAAAATAAATTAAATGAGGGAGCAAACTCCTACTTTCGATTCAGTGAGTAAGTAGATAAAAATTTTGACAGCCAGCTCCCTAGCTAATGCTTCCCAAAATGCCAAACCTTCTTGCTGGGCTCTTCGATCACCTCCATGGACAAGGATTTGGTCCTTTTGGCGTCGTTGGGAGAAGACTTGTTGGCGTTCAGGTCTCTGCTGTCTGCGTCGGTGTTCCTGAGCTTCGCATCGTCGATGAAGGTGATGGTGATTTCTTGTTGGGTGGTCGAAGGGGTTTTGGTGGTGGGTTCTGTGGGTTTGAGGTCGTGGGTCGAGCGGATGGGACTGGATATTTGGGCGATCGTGGTAGGGGGGTAATCGGATTCTATCCGAGACGTCAAGTCTGACGAGTTTTCTTCTACCATTCTGCGAAGCTTTACCTGAAGAGATATATAGGGTGTCCAGAGAAATAAACCGACAAATATCATGGGGTTATGGGGCCTGCCAATATGATACCATAAACAAAATACCATATACAAACTGACATTATTTGTTGATGAAAATTTTTTTTAATAATTTCCAAGCAAAAAAGGCACTCTTGTGGAAATTTGCTAAAATAAGCCGATTTCGAGATATTTCGATTTCAAGTGTTCGATACCGCACCAGAATATTTGAATTATTTTGAATAAAAAATACATCTTTGCTATTATCTTTGTGAATGTAATTTGGTCTGTGGAATAGCAGAGACAAAATGGATTTACAAAATTATTTTTTGGGGTGTAATAGGTAGTTGATTTTTTATTTTACCATCCTGTATCTCGAGGACGGAGGACGAGGAGGAGAAATCAATCAATTTAATAGTTTCTTTTCTCCTCCTACCTAGCAACGTATGTTACCCATTTTCCAATAGTGATGGAACTTCTTTTATTATTTAAGTTTTTTGTATTTTAGCCTGATGATAACTCCTAGGAGTCGAAACATGTAGCAAGTATCATTTTATTGAAATTTACTTGGAGCGAGACTTCGAGTTTGTTCTCTTAATTACAATATACTATTTTTCTGTGACGGGAAAAAAATTTGGCATTTCATCTCTGTTGGCAGGTTATAAAAAGTCACTTTTCATAAATTACTTTTTTCCCGTGGGAAAAAAGTGAGTACTTTTTTCCCGGATATATATCACATATATATACACTGTTGAGGGCTTTTGTTGTGCTATACTTCCGAAAAATGACTCAATAATACCGTCTCCGAGAAGGAACTGCAAGTCCTTTATCCTTCCATTCGACTTAGCGGTTACGGATATTACTAAACAACCACTAAATTTTTTGAAATCAAATCACAGAATTAGACTGACAGAAATGACATCAGATATTTTGATTATTTCAAAACAATGATAAAGATGCCTACAACGCAAGTGTCACTACTGTTAAAAACTTAAAATTTCACGTCGATAATTTTCAGATTTAAAAATAATATTATATCTTCTCAATATTGATTCGTCCTTTCTTCTGTCACAGAAAAAAATAGTGTATTATACACGGGAAAAATATTAGATTTTAGCTCACGGTTTTTTGTCTCCCTCCGCTACGCGTCGGGAGACAACACAACCTGGAGCTATAAAATCTACTACTTTTTTCCCTTGTATAATAAATTACTATTTATACTATACTCACTTGGGCGTCTACGAATAGACGACGCATCAACACCGCCATATTGGCATGGTTATCCGAGCTATTGAATCAGGCTCATGCCATGAATCCATGGTCGGTACCAGTTGGAAATCAAATCCTGAAAAACGAGAAAAACATCTATTTAAATGAGTTTTCTCCATAAACGAATGATGAGAGATTTGATATATTGTGCCCCATCTTCTTCTGCTTCCTCAAGGGTTCCACGTTCACAGCAACCCCTCATTCTTTAATTTCCTTCAGGATTTCTACGATTTTTTTTTCATTTTACGCTCTCACCTAACTATTTCAACTGATATTCATTGAAAATCAGGCAATATCGCAAGAATCATTGATACTTCCGGTGCACCTGGCCATGCCGAAAGCGAATGCTCGGGTACGGCTATTGAAATCTTATCAATTATTCACAAAAATTCCAGGCAAACCTTCAAATTATTCGAAATATTTCTCACGATATCTCAGTTTGCCTGTGACAAAAATGCTACCATCATGATATCTTGAAATCATGACTCATTGAGAGATGTGATTAATAAATTGTAAGATTATATGTACTAGTTATAGTTTTACATCTTGTTTTGGTCATTCTTCTGTTATGGTTAGTGTCCTGCTTTTCTTAGATAATATAATCCATATAATCCTCGTCTTTGTCTCATGTTATTCATATTATTCTGTAAAAATAGTTATTTTTGTATCTAGAGCGCGAAATGCTACTCTCGAATATTTTTTTAACTCGGCTACGCCTCGTTAAAAAAATCAGATCTCGATCACCAAAGTATTTCGCGCTCGAGTTGCAAACTACATTTTTTCTACAAACGTCAAAAAATATAGTTCTAAAGAAAAAATATGCTTAGCGCTTGATATAAAAATTAGTATTGAACTGGCTCAAAGGTCTCGAAAAGATATTAAAGAGCCAATATCATTGCAATGTTGCTGGTCAATGAAATACAATATTCACTAACCAACATAAATCGGATATTGATGCAATGTTTCTTTCCAAGATTGATTTGATATTGGAAATACAAATATCAGCCCATCATGAAAATTGACATATTGTAATCGTTAATATGTCACCAATATCAAATAGATATTGGCAAATTGATATCCGCTGGTCACAAAATTTTAATGTCATCTCAACATTCGCACTGGATTGATGATCGAATATTGAAATGAAAAATTGGTATGATATGGTGGGACAATCTAGTAATTCCATATTCAATATTCGAATATTGGGCTGATGTGAAACCAAGTTCTAGCCAATATGATGTTCTACCTGTGCCCCCCTATCCTCCCTAGGTACGCACGATGTTCCACGAACATAATAGGAATTTCCTTTCGTGCGCTCCAAGAGATAAAACAAAGTTATTGTTGAAAATTCAGAAATTAATGATTTCGTGGATGTTTGCTCGATTGAGGACCATGAAGTTGAAATATAAATATTTCATATATTTTACATAACAATGCGCGAAGTAGGTACTTCGCGCACTGTTTTACTTCGCGCATTGTTTTGTGCAAGATATCATGGTAACGTAGGAAACTGAAAAAAAGTGTCACTTCGCAATTTGTTATCAATACGCGAACCTTGTCATTTTTTGACGTTTGTAGAAAAATGTAATTAATAATCGGAAGCTGATATTTATCTGTAGCATTTCCTGTTATTGGGTGTAAAACCTGTTGGAAATAAAAGCCCTTTTTTTAAGCCAACCTCACCCATGATAAATTGTTGACAAGAATTCTTGATGTGAATTTTTAAATAGCAAAACAACCCGAATTGAAAAAAAATTATATGTTACAGAAATACAGTGAATAAGTGTAACAAACTTCAGGGGGTTATTCTTCTTAATATTTTAGGAAATAAAGTTTATATAAACATGTGTCATGTGTCCCAACTTGCTTCGTTTTCGAGATATTTCCGAGAAAAATTGTTCTTCCATTAATTACTCAAATGTCTTTTCATCAATTTCAACGAAACTTGCTGGTTTTTTGAGCACCTTTTGGTGTAATTAGATTCAAAATAATATTTCCAGTCGATATTTATGGTGAATATCACTGTACGCCACAGGGTTTATTTTTATTTGATTGAATAATTGAAATAACAACTTTCTTATCCCTTGTGTTACTTTTGTATCTTACTTAGTTTTTGAGGAACGTCAATAAGAATCATTTTGAAATTTTGGTACTTTGTCTATCAATCTCCGTACTGAATTTTGGCATCATGTAAGCTTATACAGGGGGGGGGCGATAAATAAAAACAATTAATACTTCCATCTTCAACATACTGTTAATTATGTTTACATGAACATGAACATGTTTACATGAACTTTATATTTCCTAAAATATCACAAGGAATCAACCCTAGAACTTTGTCGCACTTATTCACTAACACCCTGTATATCTCCAATATTTCTGGAAGATGATTCAGACGCTTCACGTCTTCAGAAAAAAAATTGAACCTATAAGAAGAGTTCAGGAGTTCTTGTTTAACGATCTGAACTAATTCATTTTTTTTATCTCTTGGAGCGCACGAAAGAAAATTCCTATAAATGTTCGTGGAACATCGCTCGTACCTAGGGAGAGGAGGTAGGTGTTAGTTATTTTTAACTTTTGGAGGTTATAGGTTCTTGGGAATACTTTCATTGGCTAAGAATTCCAAAGCTTTGCCGTTCTATAGACGAACGAGTTTTGGTAGAGTGTTGTTCGACATATTTCAAGGTTAACGACGAAGGGATGTGCTGACTGGGCCTGTCGAGTTCGTCTGACTGGTATTGCTAGTGATGAAACTATAGCAGGGATTTCTGGGGAACATTTCCCGTGGAAGTATCAATATGAAAGTGGAAGGTCGCCGACTTTTTCTATGTTCTAATGGGATCAAAGACTGGCTGAGTGTGGCATCACCCACCAGGCGAATGGCTCTTCTCTGGATGGAATCTAAGAGCATCAGTTTATGTTTGGGTGTTGAGCCCCAAACATGAGAACAGTGATCTGAAACTGGCCGTATCTGAGCTTCGAGTTTTTGTGAAGCAGCTTTTGCGATGGATTTTACATGATGTTCCCATGAGAGAGTATTGTTGATGGTAATACCGAGCATAGATTTAGATATAGTCTTGGGGGGAATGTTGGTATACCAGACTCTATTGTTATATCGGGCGTACTGAGTTCCACCTTTCTAGAAAAAAATACAGGCTTGAGTTTTGTTTGCGTTGAATTCAACTAGGTTGTTGGTTCCCCATGCTGTAATTCCCGCAAGATCTTCATTGACAGCGTTGGCCTGCCTTCGTCGTAGGTTCTTAGTTTTGTGGGAAGAGATGGGGATTCCAAAAGGAAGCGCAGTATGGAGATTACTATCGTCTGCAAAGCTGTGGATAGGGCAAGTGTTGCTCCCAATAGATCGTTGATATGAAGTCGAAACAATGTTGGTGCCAAGATTGATCCTTGTGGTACGCCGGAATCGATGGCTATGGTATCAGACGATACTTCGTCCACCACCACATGGAACGATCTGCCGGGAACGATACACGATAGACAGATGGCATAGCTGAGGTGGTAAGCCGTATCATGGTAATTTGTGGAACAGTCCTTGGTGCCAACGTTACAACGTGATATTCCTCATGTTTTTCTAATGGAGCTTGCCATATATTGGTGACGTAGGCAAGTAAATCTCCAGTTGATCTTCGGTGGCGAAAGCCATATTGTTTATTATTAATGATTCCTGATCTTAATAGTTGTTGGACAGGCTCTTGTTTCCTTCTTTGAGGATTGGTTATAGTAATAGAATATCGTTATTAGGCTACAAATTTCCACTTATAATGTCCTAAATCAGAAGACTTTGAGGACAGTTTGGGCTGTGTACAATTCTATATGCGTACCTATATATGGACATCCTCAAACTTCCACCAAAAGCTTCAGAAGACATCATATTCCCTTTACCCTAATAACGTTATTTGAGATGCAAAATTTCACTTATAAAATGCTGATTTAAAACTCTTGAGAACAGTTTGAGGGCAATTTTCATTTCAAAGAAAAAAACAATTATTTTGTTCATTTTTCTTCGCAAATAAATTTTTATTTTGTTTAGGAATGGAATTTGAATTTTATATTCGACTTCTTATACAATTTGTTGATAACTTTCAAAGTGGTGATGGAACACCGTCATATTTTTCAAATCAAATGTCACCTGTTAGTGAAAAGACATTTTTCAGGGGCAATATATTATTGTTTTTCCAATACTATCTTCTGACTATGATCTTTTATCAGATTCAAATGGTATAAACTGCTGTTTCACGATGAAAACGTCGGCTATTCATGTACAGGGTGATTCACCATAAATGTCCCCTCCTCTAGCTCACTTATTTCTGAGCCGATTTAAAAATTTCAAAAATGATCTAAAATGATTTTTCTGATTTTTTTTCTCGTTGCATCAGAAAATACAGGGTGCTCGGAACAAATAATCTACAGAGTACTACTCGATTTTTTCAAATGGAACACCCTGTATTTCATTGTATTTTTAGATTCTTCCTGAAGAGCTGATTTCATCAATGTATCACACTGGGGGTCTAGCGGGAATGATTACAGAGATATAGGGTGTTCAAAATCGAGATTTTTCAAGTTTATGTTTTTTTTTCTCGAAACTATTCATTATTGGTCGAAACGGCTTCTATGTTTCCATCTTAACTTTTGCTTTACTGTCTACTGACATTTAATTGGAACATTTACAGGGTGGTTGAAGATTCAGAATTCTGATCACCCTGTATCTGTTCCAATTATTAAATGTCAGTAGATAGTAAATCAAAAGTTAAGACATGGACATGACAGCCGTTTTGACCGATGATGAATAGTTTCGTCTCAAAAAAATCCTAGAGTTGAACAATCTCGATTTTGAACACCCTATATCTCTGTAATCATTCCCACTAGACCCCAAGTGTGATACATCGATCAAATCAGCTCTTCAGGGAGAATCTAAAAATACAATGAAAAATAGGGTGTTCCATATAAAAAAATCAAATTGTACCCTGTAGATCGTTTGTTCCGAGCACCCTGTATTTTCTGATGTAGCGGAAAAAAACTTTATCGAAAATCATTCAAGATGATATTTCAAATTTTGAAATCGGTTTAAAAATAACCGAGCTAGAGGGGGGGGACATTTATGGTGAATCACCCTGTACATCAAATATGATCAAATTTCGTGATTTGAATATTTCAGTCAGCTGTTGTAAGATTCAATAAAAATGATTAATTACGTTGAAGCGCAATTTTGAATTATTGTCGTCAAAATCAATGAGGTTGCACAAAATTCTGCAGCTTTTACTGCAATATTTCATTTTTTTCAAATTTTTTTCTCGATCATCCGGAATGTAAATTTGGAATTGGAATAAGATGAAACTAACTCAATATATAAAACTACGATAATGAATCAATTGAATAGTGAAAAAATTGTAGAGTTACCTACAATGAGTCCGAAAGAAATTAAATATAAAGAGCGCGTAAAAAATGGGCCATTATACCAAATTTCGCTGTATTACGATCTGTATTACGATTTCGCGGTAATTCCTTGGACTGGTAAAGGGCGATATACTTTTCATTACTCATTTTATTTCTAAATGGCGTATGGTTCAGACCAACTATAATATTAGTGTCTGAAAAATTCGAAACAACATTTCTACAATGTAAGTCACAACATAAAGTTTTGGAGAATTTAGCTGAAATTAAAATCAATTCCCTTCTCCATTATTCCGAGAATCAATGTTGCAGTTGTGGGTCTTCTGATGGAATCAGCAGAACATTCTCTAAAACCATTTCAAATATTCTGTTGAACAATTATTGCGAAATAAAAAAAGATATAGTTCGTTGGGAAAGTTAATCACGAGTAGAATTCGAAACCTGTGAGGGATCAACATCAGAGCAGAGTATCATAAGAAAACATAAGAAAGATATCACAGTGAAAAATTTCCGGGTGTAATTTCAACCGAGTGGATTTCAGAAATAACTCCGATTGAATCAACACTTGATTAGCAATTTCATGCCAATGTTATTAGAAATTTGATAATACCGTGTACAGTAGTGTCAATTCACACAGTCATAGTGAAAAATTACACGGATGTGGTAATTTAGAGGAGTTCTGAAATATCCATTCGAGAGAAACACCAACAGGATGAAAAGTAATCACTTTCGATAGTGGTATCATCCAAGTTAACGCAAAAAATACACTTATTATATAAAATTATCACCTAGTTACACCCTCACCAATCACAAACAAATCAGAACCGTGTATGAATTATGAGATTTGGGGCATCATCGTCTTGCATTGTCCCATGTGAATAAATAATGTTTGCTGATTATGAAATTACCCACTGAAAGACCTGAACTCATTGAAGAATGGATGGACATTGTGTGGGTATATCATCATCCAAGAATTCTGGTATCCAGATTGATAGGTGACAATAAGAACGGATGATTTCGTGAAAATAATGCATTAAATAAATTTTAAGCTGATTCATAAATTATATATGATGATTTTTATATTGCGAAGCGATATAGAGTACTTATATCGAACCAGATTGAACATAAAATTGAATATCAAAGTAGAAATTTTGTGCACAGAAAAATATTTAGTGAATTTCTTGATAGATGGTGACACTAGCGCTCCTTCGACGCACCTTTCTCGACAGCCTACAAATAGTATCAGCTCAGAGATGTTTTGTAAGTCACAATTCTCACTACATTGGATCGTTTTATACACTGAATACTAATGTAAGCAGTATATCAGAGTCGTGTTATTCAACACTCAGATGCATACAAGAAAACACTGCTTCTCAGCGTGATAACACTCGATAAGTGTGTTTTCACAACAGAAGAATATCCGACAAATATTCACATATTATCATAATATCATCAGTAAAAGCAAAAACGCAACAGATACAGTGTCAAAATAATCACCAAATGATTGTACAGTCACCACTCTGGTGTTGAATAACACGAATCGATCAAATTAGCTCTAGATACTCTAGTGTAGTTCTTGACTGTATGTAAGAACGAATGACACCCTATGATGGTGTTAGAAATATCAGAGTTAATTCCCACTTAAATGATCAGGACCTCAGGGGACACCCAAGGGTGTTAGCTGGTGTGAACTGGTGTAATTTTTTTTTCACTGGGTACAGTAGCTTTCGCGGTCAAATAAGAAGCTGTCCTTCTGTATGTTTATATCAAATCTTGAGAGTTTCAAATTCTTATCTCCAAGTAAACTGGGACACTCGGTATACATAGGTGTATTTGAAAAGAGGACAATTCAATTATAATATGATTGTTATTGTCACCGATGTTATTCATTCACATCAATTACCTTCGGACATGCCTAATGTCAACCTTCATGGTTGGTGATTCAACATGAATAGTAATGATTCAGCACCAAACTATATAATATGCTAATAATTTACCTTTGACAGGATATTTCTTAACACTCACCCCTGCTCCAATATTGATAAATAGGTCAGCATCGTATTTTGCTGAGAAGACACACCCTCATCTATTGACTGTCACAATTTATTAATAAAATAAGTAATTGAGCGAGCATATTTTTGGCGACGCCAATTCGAACATAATATTTCCAAAAATAATCCCGCACTCAGATATTGTTTTCTGGTATCTCGTCAGGTGAAATAGTGAATGACAAACCTCGATGGAACAACAATTGTTTAATTATTTTCGATTGAAAGACCTGGTAATCGAATCCAATCATAGAAGAATCTTTATTGACCCAACGAGAAGGACAAAAACGCCGCAATCATTCAATTTGTTGGCTGCTTTCAAGTGACGTCGTTTCGTCGGTTTCAACCCGTGAAACACACTGCCAAAATCCGCGATTCCGCTCACTTTTTGACGTTTTTTTGCTAGCGTACGTGTTTGTTGGCCGAGCGTAAAACGAAACTGATTTCATTCATCGGACTGGCGTCGCGGCGCAAGCGTCGGGACGTCGCTTGTTTCGCCCCTCGACTTATTGCATGCACCTTCCGTAAAAAGGATGGACGGCACGATACGTTTGGGGTGTGCTTTCGGGTTTCAGGACGCGTGAGTCCTGATCTAATTGCACCTACAGAGTGATCGATAATGTATACGGAGTGTCCTGCAGAGCACTAAAACCCATGCACACACTATGCCCTACCCAGACAGCACAGAATATTCTAAGAATATTCTGACAACGTTCAAATATACTCATTTTAGAATATTGTTATTGAACGATCTCAGAATGATTATAGAATATTCTCATTCTGCAAACGACATTCTATTTGACATATTCTCATAATATTCTGGGAATATTGTTTCTAATGCCACGCAGAACATTGAATTACATCCTCCCGAAATCTATCCCAGGTAGAACATCATATTGGCTAGAACTTGGTTTCATATTAGCCCAATATTCGAATATTGAATATGGAATTACAAGATTGCACCAATATCAAACCAATTTTTCATTTCAATATTCGATCATCAATCCATTGCCAATATTTTAATAACATTGAAATTTTGTGATCAGCCGATATCAATTTGTCAATATTTATTTGATATTGGAGGAATAATAACGATCACAATATGTCAATTTTCATGATGGGCTGATATTGCATTTCCAATATCAAATCGATCTTGGAAAAAAATATTGACTCAATATCCAATTTATAATGGTTAGTGAATATTGCATTTCATTGTCCAGCAATGTTGTAATAACATTGAAATTTTGTTTCCAGCCGATATTTATTTACCAATATCTATTCGATATTGGTGAAATATTGACGATCACAATGTTAATTTCCATGATTGGGCTAATATTGTATTTCCAATATTGAATCAATCATGGAGAAAAATATTGCATTGATATCAGATTTATGATGGTTGGTGAATATTGCTCTTCGTTGTCCAGCAATATTGCACTGATATTGGTGATTCAATATCATTTCGATATTCAATAATCAATCCAGTGCCAATGTTGTAATAACATTGAAATTTTGTGACCAGCCGATATCAGTTTGCCAATATTTATTTGATATTGGCGAAATATTAACGAATACAATATGTCAATTTTCATGATGGGCTGATATTGTATTCCCAATATCGAATCAATCTTGGAAAACATATTGTATCAATATTTTGTATTTTTATTCAGCCAATATTAGTTCATCAATATGCGACCCATTTCAGATAGATATAACTGATGAAATATGCCAGAACCAATATTGCACTGACATTGGATTTCTAATATCGAATCGATATTCGTGATATTTCTCTTAGTATTTGAGCTACGTTATAACAGCTGGCGCCACTAGCACGCCTCCAACAAACGACTACTGAGAGACATCAAATACCGCATTCGTTCAACTTGCAAACTAAGTATTCTGGGATACAGGAAACGAAAATGGAATTGATATTGTACAAATATCGCAATTTTTTAATGAGGCTAATATGGCTTCGAATTCGAATTTTGATTTCGAGTTTTGTTGAAAAACGAAATTCAATATTGGTTGAATATTATAATTCAACATGAAGATATTATTGCAAAATAATCACGTCCTCATTTTAGTCATTATAGTAGGGGAATATGAATTCAATATCGATTTCACATATGAAAATTATAAGAAACCAGTTTTCTATAAGTTGGCATCATATATTTGTCCAATCTTGTATACGAATATTAACTCGATATTGGATAGAGCATATCGAAACAAGATTGAAATTCAACATAGCACCAAGATTCCAGAATGTTCACATTGATTTATTGACCCAATAATTAAAATTAATATTTTCCCAACATTCACCATTTATTGACTCGATATTGGACCAATATTAGTGTTCTACCTGGGATGCATCGACTCGTATAAACAAATACTGATACAAGTGATTCTTTCCTGAATGCCTATTGATTTCGATTTATCCAGGCCACGCTAGACACCTACAGACCAGTTTCGAGCTCTTTGACTCTCATCATTGTAAGGCAGTCTCCATTCAGTATTCTCGATCTTCTAGGGCTACCATCTCTAAAATTTGAAAACCAGGACAAGGCTACTTTAAAATCAGGACAAAATCCGGACAGCCGGAATTTTAAAAACTCGAATCATTTGTACCTGATTTCGAAAATATATTTTTCTACGGCTAGAACACAAAATTGCTCCTGTTTTACTTAGGGATCGACCGATATGATTTTTTGAGGCCGATACCGATATCGGCCGATACCGATATAGACATGGCCGATATTGGCCGATACCGATATATCGGCCAAAAATTTCAAGTGTTGTTTTCCCTTGCAAAATATATTTAAAATGGTGTAAAACAAAAAGGAAAACTCTATGCGTAAATTTTAAATTACTAAAAAAAACCATATTGAAGAAGAATATAAAATGTATATAAAACTAACAAATATTTAAAAAAATGAAGATCTTTTGATGTGGTGGGAGGAAGAGAAAAATAACCTTTCACTACTGTATAAATGTGCAATTATATATTTAGCACCACCACCCAGTAGCTATTTTCTTCAGCTGGAAACGTATACGAGGGCGCTTGAAATCGACTAACGCCTGAAAGAGCTGAAAATGTAATTTTATCACATTATAATTTACCGAAACTCAATATCAAATATTAATATTCGCTCTGTAAGTATTTTTTTTAGGATTTCTGTTAATTTTTTAATATTTAATTTTTTTTTTTTTTTGTTACAATTTTTTTTTTTTAATGTGATAAATATATTCCAAATTGAATAAACATATAAACATAATAAATAAATAATGGATTTCCACTTCATTCACTCCACAAGTGAGCTGGGGCAGAAAGAACGACTGGGGCAGCGTGCACATACTGGGCTGCACGTACTGGAGCAAGCATGTGCAAGTGGGGCAGAATATACCTTCTGTACTGGGGCAGAGTATACATTCAGTACTGGACCAGAGTATACAATATCTACTGGGCCAGAGTGTGCAGCTGGAGCTAGGTAAACTGGAGTTTCATGCTTCTCCACGACTGTGAGTAAATATGTATTATTTAAAACAAAATGTATTTTTTTGGGGGTTTGTTTTTGTGTTTTTTTTTCTTCCAGGTAAAAAGTTACACCATTTTGAAGACTATTATATTTTATTTTATTATTACTAAGCCGATACCGATATAGGCCGATATTGCCTCTTCATATCGGCAGATACCGATATCGGCCAAACACGCCGATATGGCCGCTATACCGAAACCGATATCGGTATCGGTCGATCCCTAGTTTTACTGTGTTCAATAGATCAATGAGGTTCTTTGTTTGTCATCAATTTCATTTCCGTATCTGATAACACAATGACTCCATTGTGTTATAACTTCAAAAAAATCTAATCGCCCAAGGAATGTAAAATTCAGATGGCTACAAGACGAATAAATGAAAAATGTCGCTGTTATTTGTTACAACCGTAGGCAAATTATAGTGTAAAAGTTGAAAGTTGGCCAACTTATGACTTTCTTAAGTTATACTTAAATCCTTAAGTTGCGTGCATGAACGTTATCATCGATTATTCGAATTTCAACTTTTCAAAGTTAGGGTTAAATTAAGTTAGGACTAAGTTACGTCGTGCATGAATTCACCATAACTCGCACGGAATGCTAATTTCCCACTCGAATGATTGCAGCATTCGCTTATTCTCGTGGGAAATGACTATCATTTCGTGCTCGTTAAACAATATATACTATTTCATATACCTATAATAAAATCATATAAATGCATGTTCTAAAATTTAAAGAAACAATAAATTCTCGAAAGTTTCTAACTAAACAAAAATAATACCAAACCGATAAATATTCAATTTTCGAGCATAGTCAGTGGTGGGACCTGATAAAAACCCAGCCGGACGCCCCTAAAATCCGGACATGTCCGGGGAAATTTGGACGGATGGCAACCCTACCTAAGACCGCCGAATAAGCGTAGCCTAGCCAAACAAAACTCGAGTAGGCATTATATGAACATTGTGTGCATGTGACTTTAAGCTCTTTGTATTTATTCAACATTTCATTCCACTTACCCTAATAACACAATTACATCTGTAAGACATCGTAGAAACATCCTTATGGGATGATAGGAACATCTCTGGAAAATCCCTATTTTCCTTGGGACATTCTTGGGATGTTGCTGGCAACACCCGTGCCAGCATTTGCGATGTTTTATCAACATCCCATCAGAATGTTTGTGGGATGATACGGAATGTACCAGATACATTCATGGTACTCGATATTTTCGAACATCTTAAAGAGACTTTTAGGATGTTTTCTGTTTTATGTTCATGAAGTTAAGCAGGTACTTTCGTAATCTTATTGAGGCATATTTAGTATAATTATTTCAATTTGTTATCGATGAGATTAGCCGGCGTTGGTATAGGTATAAGTTATATGAGTACGAATACAGTTTCGATTTCCATTTTTTACCAACTTTTCAATGTTTCAAATGTCACAATTGTTTGAACTGTTCAATCATGTCAATCATCATTAGCAAATATGGAACCATGATATTGTTTATAGAAAAAGATCGAATGGGATGTTTCTAGAACATCCAATGAAAACATGTGATGGATGTCCCTAGAGAAACATCTCTGGGATATCGTACCTAAGTCTGAAACATTGGGACATTTGTAGGACCTTAGCGGGATGTACCAGCAAGATCCCGTGTTGTTAGTCGAGCATTGTGGCAATTTCGTAGTTGAAATAACGCCAGTCGGGCAACCAGTCAGGCAACCAGTCACTCCCGTATGGGAATTTCAGTTTTGGAGAGTTCATTTCCTTCTTTTCTACTCAGATGGCGTTGCTTTCATATCGTCTATTGAAGACGCCACTGGGGGAATATAATGCCTACTTGAGTTTTGTTTGGCTAAGCTACGCTTAGTCGGCGGTCTTAGAACTGCTGGCTGG